AAAAAGATTCAAGCAATTTTAGATGGCAAGTGAAGTGATTTTTGTATACCATTTTTTTTCATACATCCTTTGTTTCTGTTTTTTAAAACATACAGTGTGTCATGTTTTATATGAGTCCACATTTGTGTGTGAGACATTACATTTTTTTTTCTTTCATACTTTGTTTCAGTTTTTTAAAACATACAGTGTCTTGTGTTTCATATGAGTTTACATTTGTGTGTGAGACATTACATATTTTTTAGAAGATGTGTTACATGTACGATATAATTGATGTGTCTGTGAATTCAAGGATAATTTTTTAATAGAAATATTAGGAAAATCCAATTTTAGTTTACCGCATTGTCCCACGTCTCTTCAATAAAAGTGTGATCTCGTGGTGTACCCTAGCATATATAATTTTTTTTGGAACAAACAATATTGATTACACTAAGGAGGAGAGGCGGGAGGTGAGCTTAGTCTCACAATGGACAAGCGATAATGTGGTTCAAATTCGCCTTTTGCAAGAATCGAACCTAAGATCTCTCATTTACAAGTGAAAAGGAAAACCACTAGACTATAGTATTAAGTGATCTCCTAACATAAATTTTTAATCATTAATGTAATGCACATAAATGTGGTATCTCTAGCATTACTGAATCTCATTTTTGATCCACCTGTCGTAATAGTAAATGACATGATATAACTTGTATAACCCATATGCAATTATGACCGTGGATAATACAAGTTTGGTTGATAATACTTAAATCAAGGGATTTTCCCCAATGATTGGGTTAATAATGTTGAACAATGTAAAAGTCTCATTTCGAAAACTTGATAAATTAAATACAACTTGCTTGAGGTCTTTTGTAATAAAAATTTAGACTTATTAGATTGCATATATAGTTAAGTGAAGATAATATCACTAATTATTTATTATTATTAGATTGCACTTATACTATGACATGTGGAGTAATCTTATACTTGTGTCACATGGTCAGTGATAAGTGGACATGACAAAAATCATGTAAAGTGTAACAGAAATTAAATTTCAAGGAGTTAAAAGGCAAAATTTGACACTGAAGAAAAAAAAAATATTAAAATCAAATTTAAGGAGGCATAGAAACAATAGGGATGGTTTAATATCCTTTAAAACTCAGTCAATACGGTTACACCATCATTTATCATTTTTCTTTCTTTTTTATTCCTTAACTTCATTTATACTGAGAAAATGATGAATTAAGCTAGTTAAACTACACATAAAGGCATGATTGTTGAACTACATTTGTAGTCTTACTCTCTTCCACTAAAGCAAGGAAAATGAAATTTCCTAACAGTATACTTTTAAGTACTAAAGTTCGTAAGCAGCAGCAAATAAAATGTTTAATTCGTGACCTTCATGAAAAAGGAAACGAAAGGTGCGAATGAATATCGTGATCAAATATATACCACAACTTTGATAAGTACTACCAAACCTAACATTATCACGATGCATGTGTACGAGGCTCACGTGGACCCTAATTCTGTGTCGCCACTTAGCCCCACTTCCCACACAGCCGGAAAATCGGCAAGACTTTCAACAAAAACGAGTGGACAGTACAACTTCTGTAACTTTCATTGTGTGTGTGTTTGTGTTTTTTTTTTTTTAATTGAATGGTTATGGACTACTTATCGTACGAAGAACAGCAACCCTAAACCTTAACTTTCTCATGTGGACCCTAATTCCATGCATCTCTTCCTTTTTTTTCACATACATACGTAGTACGTGTAGAGTTTTCATCACCATACAGCTCTATAAAGCATCTCCGGAAAATTAAACAAAATTCTAAGAGTGATTAGAGAAACCAAACTTTACAAGTTATATGTGAACTATTAAATAAAAGGGAAATAAAGCTCACCAATACAAGTAGATCCTACCTAGTCCACACGTTGTCTAAAAAATATAGCATTCCAAGCAATTTTTTTTAATTTTAAGCTAAATATGTGCTTGGATTTATGTTGTATCCATTTGGCTAGCCATTTGTCGTATTCCAAAAATTAAATCCCTCCAAGGAAATCCGGCCGCAGGTGTAGGAGGTGGATCCGACCCACCATTGCGGGTATAGTCGCACTAGAGGGCATAGTCCTGGTATGAGAAGGAAACCCATGAAATCATGGGTTGTTGCTTGCAAAATGGTGGGGAGGAAAGGGAAATATGGATGGCGTCGGTTTGCGCTAGAGAGAGGAAGAGGGAAAAGGAAAAAAGAAGGGTCGTGATTTTCACACACCCTTAATTACTTTTCTCACATCTCTCTATTTTTTAATACTTAATTGGTATCGTACTATTTAATCTTTTATATATACCCTACTTACTTTTTTATGGTAATTAATGAAAGATTAAATAAGAAGAGGTATATATGAAAGATTAAATAGTAGGATACCAATTAAGTATTAAAAAATATGAAAGGATCTGAAAAAAGTAGTTAAGAATGTATAAAATCACAATCCGAAAGGGAAAAAAATAAAATAAATAAATAACAATATGGGCACCGTCACATTATGTTGTGTATTAATGTACTACAACAAACAAATAATTTATGTATGTGCAATTCTCAATTCAATGAATCAAGTAATTAATGGTTTCTCATAAAAATAAATAAATAAATAAAAAATGAAGGATAATACCACAGAGATTAAATTTGCAAACCAAATGATGTGTTATCAATAGGAAATAAGCAAGTTAATTGACACTTAGCAATAATTCAATAATAAACTTTCACATCATATGATTTATAAAATTTAGTTTAAAATTTTGATCTTACTAGCATTAAAAAAATATATAAATTTTCAAAAAAATACTAAAAGTTGGGATCACTGCATGATCGGGCCGGTTAATTGTACGTTGAGAGTTTGAATTTTCTTCATTATCAATTTGCTTTTTCATTGACAAATCACATCCTAACATGATAATGACTTTGGTCAAATCGTGGCCATTCAACAACTAAGATATTTTCGGATCGAATGAGGATCTTCTTTAGAATTTTTTTGTGAAAATTTCAAATATCTTCCAATCACATATGTTCATCATACATTGTACGATCAGTTTTTATCGTGTACTGTTTATATTTAATTTTAAATAAAAAATTACAATAATTTCTGATCGCATGATGTACGATGAATAAATATAATTAAAAAATCTATAAAATTCTCACAAAAAAGATCCGAATATGATGCTCATTCTTTTGGAACGGTGAAAAAACGAGGATACTTTATTTTTCTTGATCTTACCTTTTCTCTCTTCCGGTCCGGATCTGGTAGCAATTTGCATGCCTTGTGCTTGTGTTCTGGTTTCCAACTGATCAATTATTATAACCATGATTATGATTACTTAACACTGTTACAATGTCCACCTTCTTATTTCTCCCCCCTCTCTATATATATACACCCCCAATTCAAAGTAAAAAGAGAGCAAAGTTATTTCCACACTTACCATTATTCCTAAAATAGCCTCAACAGTCCAATATTTTTTTTTACTTGAATCCACCCGGTTATCCATTCGTTAAACTCAATATTGAAGAATTTATTGGTAAGTTCATCGCTTCTCAATTTCGCAACCTTTTAAATCTATAAACTAAGCCTTCAAGCATCTAATTAAAACAAACAAACAAAACCAGAGACAATTAATCTTTTGCTCTTTGAAGACCAACTTTAGTAAGCTTTTTTATGGTTTATTAAACTCTTATCTAATTTTGTCGACCAAATCACAAAACCCATCTAAAGAGTACCTAAATTGATATCCGTGCTATTGCCGACAAACCCAAAGTTTTAATTTGTTACACGTTTCTCACCATTTGCATTTATATCATGAATCATTTCTTAAATTCAATAATTGTATAATATGTTTGCTCAATCGAATTTCTCTTCAATATTAATTGTGATGTGAGTTGCAAACACCTAAATGAAGCAGCAACTTAAATCTTGGATCTTTTGCTTGATTTTGAGTTGGGTTGTGAGGACCGGTGGTGCATCGGAAAGAGAGACGCGGAGAAACTCTTTCTTTATATTTTATTATGTCTCCTTCTATGAAATTGTGCCATAAGGTAAACTTTTTATTAAAAATTTCATTAAAACGTGTGGAATAATAGACAATGAGTGATGGGACTGAGATCCTCGCTGGATGTCTTTTCTGCGGATTTGACAGACCCTTAAATCCTGGTCGTTCACGCAAATCAAACAGCCATAAATAAATCATGAAAACGACGCAGGAAGAAACTAGAAAGGGGCGAGGCTATTAACTACATTAAGAAAGAATCAAAGAGCAATAAGGATTGTAGGAAAATGAAGAACTTGAGAGAGAAATAATTAAGAGAGAGAGTAAACTGTATGAAGTGTATTCAAACATGATGAAATGGATCCTCACAATTACAAAGCTTTTATACACACATATATCTAACTTAAAGTTTCATTCTTACACTTCTAACCGACTAACTAATCTTTTTAACAATTTAACAGTTTTGGTATGACATGACAATCTCATTAACTAACTAATGTTGAGCTGTCATTTATTAATACTCAACAAAGGCAACCTTGTTTCGTGTAAAAATAAATAAAAAGCTTATTTCTGATCGTTTGATTTGTGTGAACGGCCAAGATTCAAGGATTCGTCGGATCCGCATAATTAAAGAGACGTGGAGATGATCTGAGTCCGAGGCGGGCATAATTACGATTATTTTATTTATAAAAAAAAATTCAGTTAATTTGACCACCTTTGAACTTTCCAAGTCATCCCCTAGCCGTGGAATGGTTGCCGCCAAAATATTTCGCCTAAGGTAGTGTTGCACATGTTGAATATTTGCTGGATCGAAAGTAATACCTCTTGAATTTCATACAAATTTTTTTGTTGAACGAACGATATTATCTACTCTAAAGGGGAGGAGATAGACTTAACCTCACAATGAACTATCAAAAATGTGATTCAAATTTGCATTTGACGAGAATCGAACCTAAGATCTCTCACTTACAAGTGAAGAGGAATAACACTAGACTGTAGTAATAAGTAGCTAAATTTAAAATAAAAAAAAAACTTCAATGTAGCTAATGTGTCATAAAAGAAGTTTTACAATTGTTTTAGTCTAAAGTAAGGTTTTCAATTGCACTGTTCAAATAAACAGTCTTGACGTGGATTTTGAGTTATTTACATAATTGCCACCCCTTCAACCATGCACGTGTCGACCATCATAGAAAGGGTGGGGATGGAAACGCACTTCGTTTTCGTTTGCTTCCTAAAACCCGAAGCTTCGATTGCATCCTAACAAGAGTTGGGGAACGGGTGTCCGTTGCAGAGAGATGGTACTAGCTGAACAGAGTTTCTCTCTGCAATTCCTCTCCCACAGGCCTGAACCTCAACTATGGAGGGAAGTTTGCTTCTCTGTCTCAGCTGGTTCTCTTCTTCACCCCATTTAAAACCTCATCTCTCTTTCCCCTCTTCTTCTTCCTTGCTATTCGGATGATCCCACCTTCTGGGTTTAATCCCCATTTCTCTCTCATCCCTAACGTGTGCATGTCAGATCTCCGTCCCAAATCCTGGCCCAATAACACTTCAGAGGTAAAGTTCAACCTTCGTCCCGTTTAGTTCCTGTCCAGAATGCAGATTAGAAAAAGATGAATCAGAAATGTCTCATGTATGTATGTTCTCTGTGTAAGGTACCTCGATTAACGACGATGATATCGAAGAGAGGCTCAAATCACAAGTTCAAAGGCTGAAAATTGTGCGAATACCACGTGATTCTCAGATCCAAAAGGTAAGGTAAAAATCTGACACCTCCGAAAATGATTTGACAAGTAAAATATTATATATTAAGTTGTCTTCTCCCCAATTTTAAATATTTGGAAATGACCCGAGAAGGGTTAGGATTTCTCTAAACTTCCTATGTAATAGTGTCCTGGATGCGTATGTAGGTTTGATATATGATGTAAAGAACATGTTCTGGTCTGAAAGCAAAATTTATTGTTGATATATACTTACAAACATTATAATGAAGAATGTGAATTATCAAGCGATAGAATCACAGAGAGTTCGAGGAGGAGGCGAAGGGTCCATCCAATCCTCGCGAAACTTCGATCCAACTACTAGAATTTTACTGTACAACCAATCCTGCCATGGAACGAACTTCAACCGCTCCAATCATTCGGTACTCTGCCTTTGGCGTTAATCCTGATCCACAGAATCGCATTAGTTTGATGCACCGAAGAAGAGGGCTAGTATCCAAATCAATGTAACATCACAACCTATTTTTATGACTAATTCAAATTTTGACATCATGAGTAAGCACATTAACCATAAACAATTCCACCTCAATACAACCAGATCAGTGAGCGAGTGGCAATGACGAAGGTGTACGGAACAGGGCCATACGATTTCAAGCGCCACCATGTCGCCGAGTACCCGCTCGAGTACCCGGTCAAGGCCAAGCCCGGTTCGGCGCTTCCTAGCTCGATAACGCTGTCGGAGATTCAGCGGGACCAGCTCACGATGATTGCCGCCGATAATTGGTCCAAAACTCTAGACGCTTCGAAGCCCAAGAAGCCCAGAACAGCAGCTTGCCATTTTAGCATGAGAAAAATAAATATTTTTCACCACCCCATCGATTCAAAATCCCTAATTCAGAGACCCTATTCAAAATCTCTAATTCAAAAAGTCCTAATTCAGAAATCCTAATTTCAGAAATTCCTAATTCAGAAACCCAAATTCAAAATCCCTAATTGAATTTGGAATCAAACAATGTGTATGAACTTTGGTTGAGTTTATTGCAGGAACTTCTTACCTTGTGCAGTGAGGAGGAGTGCGGACTAAGACAGAGAGCTCGATTCAGGAGCCGGATTCAGGTGGTATAGGCAGTGGGTGAAGTAGCGATTCAGGTGATGGATTCACGAGTGAGGAATGAGGACTGGTGTGGGTAGATTCGGGATTCAGACGACGAATTTGGGTGATGTCACTTATGTGGGAGGAGAGAAAAATCGGCAAGGAGGGTGGTGAGGTTCAGGTACCGAGGTGAGGCTTGAGTCTGAGGTGAGAGAGAGTGAGGGTGTGGACAATTCCACCACTACTGATTGACCCGACTGACTAATCTCCTGGCACAAAGCTAGCCTTTATACTTTATAATGAAATGTTTTGTTTTGATATATGATGAGTCTATCATTTAGATTTGTTACTGAATTGAGTTAAGTGGATTTATATACGCATAAAAAAAAAATTGTGGACATAAAAAGTCGAGACATAGACTTCTGAGTAGGTTTTATTTATATTCAATGGTTGAGATTAAATCTCAACCGAATCCGACAGCTGTTACAATTCCAAATATATATTTAAAAATTAAATAATATATATATTTTTTATTTCAGTTTGGTTCGGGATTACCAAACGAACGAAAACTTGAGACCGATTCTCGTACCGAAATTTTCGGGATTTTTGGTTTTGTATTTTTTTTTATTCGGTTTTGAGAATATTTCGGATTGGTTTGGGACATTCGATTTTTTTTCCACCCAAAACCCTAACTTCGTGAAACTTTCATTGTTTTTGTAAAACATTGATTACGACCCCCGAGATTGAAAGTTAAATTGTTATTAATTCCAATCCATGCATCTTCCTTTTTCACCTACATACACAACTAAGAGCATATCTAAAGGAGATGTCAAAATATAAATGTCAAATGTTAATTTGATGGCTAACATGACAATGTCAGATATTCTTTTTTTAACCGATATGTTTCTTTCTTATAAATGATATATGTAGGATGCATTAAGAAAAAAATCAATTAAAATACATTTTCAAGATTTATAATTAATGAATTAATGGGATCCACACAATAAAATAATTAAAACAAATTTAACATCACCTTTTCACATTAGTCCACTATGAACCCAGTCTGAAAAGTCATTACAATTTGTACCATCTTAATCACAATCAGCATCCCTTATGCACAACATGGTAAAGTTTTTTCACGTTCCTTGTCACATTAGTCCATAAAACAACAGAGGATCTTTAATCCCAGCTTTACCGACCAAGCGAAAGCAATCCTTATCCAGAGGATTGCATGGATCTTCATTTGAACCTGAGCAGCCCATCTCCGGGCATCGGCCATGATTGATCCTAATGCAATAATACCATGACAAAATCACAATAATAATCTCTCAAAATCTAACGTGTAAAACCGGAATCCTTTCTTCATCCAACTGCCTTAATTATATGGGACGATGGTGTTAAATCGAGTCTGAACAATAAGAGATTAAACCATGGTGAACTCTAGTTTTGTCAAGCTCTTGTGGCTAAATTTTTTGAGGAAATTTAGCCAAATTAATCTCTAAGATTTGCATAACTTCTTATTTGGTCATTGAGATTTGAAATCAATACAATTGGTTCCTGAGATTGTCCACCATCAATCATTTTGGTTTTTTCATAAATAGTTATGTTAAATAAAGATTAAAATGACAAAATTACCCTCAATTTAGTAAACAATAAGCCAAAATGATTTGACAAAATTTGAGGGTATTTTTGTCATTTTATCCTTATTTAGTGGAGATTTTTCATGGAATTACCAAAATGATTGATGGTGGACAAACTCAATGACCAATTCTATTGATTTCAAATCTCAGGACCAAGCCGAAGAATTGCTGCTGTGGAAGATGCAATTTCTGGAGTTTCATTCAATGGCTCCACACTTTCGTTGTACCTTGACCCAAGAGAAAGAATCTATGCACCATCATCACACTAACCCCAGAAGAAACAATACCATTCTTTAAGTAGTCTTCCGCCTTCGGCAAGTGCCCGGATTTGAACCGTTTTGCTTCTGCTAAAAATGCATTGCACAGAATCCCCCCACTGCACGTGTAGTAGAATTAACTGTTAAACCTTTTCTTGAACAAACTAGTAATTAAATTTCATGACACTAATCCGGTTTAATATATTACCTTCTTAAACGAATGTAATGGGTACCACCCATGCTTTTGATAGAATTTGCAGCTGATTTCATTCGTCATATTGTAAAGAGCCATTAAATATATGTTCATGTAGTCCGGTTTAAGTGCTCTATAACATTTACTGATCAATTCACGGTGGAAACTGGTGAAGCCAATTAAGAAAGTACAGGACATTTTATTGTTTACATATTGACGGCCTCAGTGAAGAGAGTAAGTTCATCAAGCGTCTCGTACATCGAAAATGTCACCAATAAATGGTTTTGTGAGCTGAATCCTCTCCTCTTACAAGTTTGGATCTGTTGAGCGCAAACTACAGTTCCTAGGCAGTCCCATCTCTTTCCACCACCTAATTAATTTGTTGGATGAAATAAACAGACAAATTAGGATTTCTATAGTGCAGTTAACCGTATTGTTTACATGCGGATATATTCTTGATATTGATGATATTGTTAGTGCTTCGACCTTGTAAATATGTGCACAACATGGCTGACGATAAATTGGACCGCATTTTTAAGAAGTGCTGTTAAATGCACGATGTCAGTTAACTTTGAAAATTTGAATATCTCCTTCTGACGTAAGGACTGAACCAAATTAAAATCCGTTTTGCCACATCCTGTAGCATATTTAGCCGTCTATTGTTCATGCCAGATAGGGAATTAGTGGCCATGAATGTGGCCAAGCTTTTGTGATGGGGGTACTCCAGTGTGTTCCCCACAACTCTGGCCTGATGAGGACCAAGATAGGACAATGATCTATTTAGGAGATCACTACTCAATTTTCCAGCTTCATCAAGTGCATCTTCTGCTTCCATGCTTAGCTGTGAAGCTTCATACATCAATCCCTTGACCTCTTAACTAACTAACATTTTCTTAAAATGCTTCCTTCCCTTTACTTCAAGTTGTTGACACATCTATTAACAACAAAAGTTATAATTGAGAGTGATTGACTGATACTGAATATCAATCTACAATACTACGTAAATATACGAAACAAATTGTTACCAAAATTTTAGTTATACTCACCCTCGGTCATGAAGTGACCATGTTGTCTGAGTAGCCAGAACCGAAGGACAACTTCATGCAGGTCATTTTGTTGATGAGAAAGGCCATGAGCTGATAGATATGATTAGGTCAATTTGTTCTTCGAAAGTGGTAATCTATACCTAGACGTTGAACAACATCGATCATGTTCAAACTTTCAAGCGCGCCTTCTCCTCCTACTATGCTCAATACATTCCTGAATACCTCCAACTTTTATTCATGTTAGAAACGGCATGTCATCCTGCAAGCAAGGTGGAGTTATTGGAAGAGTGGACATAGGTGGATATAAATAGCTGAATGAGATTAGAGTGCCCAAGAAGTAGGATCTTTTTTTGAGCAATATTTGGAGTGGAGATAGCAAAGATGGCCTGAGAAGAAAATTTAACAGTGTTTAAATTTGTTGAAATTCTTCGGCACATGTATCTAACCAGGGCCGGAGCCAGACATAGATTGTAGGTGGGCCTGACCCTCTCGCACCATTGAAGCAAGCTTACGTTATTCCTTGATTTGCACAAGTTGTTCATCATTCAATGTTTATATGTTTTGCCTATGCGCGCCCCCCAAACCAACCCCCACCCCCCCGCCCCCCCCCAACCCAAAAAAAAAAAAAATATTGGCTCCATCATTGTATCTAACTGTTAAATTCAAGAATGTATGTTATACATTAATATATTTTAGAATTTTCACTCTTTTTCATAACTTTGAAAGAATTTTTATTCCATGCATCAACCTACATTGCTCTTAAAATATTGAGAGTATGAGTTCCCATGTTGAGAATATAAGAGACCTTATATGTGCTTAAGGAATTAGGCTACTTTTGATACTTTCAAGGGAATTTTTTGAAATGTTATATGAACCTATTCATATTTTTCAATTTGTTATATAAACTAAAATTTTAAGCAATTTATCATACCAGCTTTACAAAATCATTAATTTGTCATTTCATTCTAACTCCCCGTTAAATTTTCCATCCAATATAAGTCAAGTGCCTCACACAAGACTTGTTTTCAGGGTTATTTAGGTCATTTTAACATCTTTTCAAATGTATTTTACTTTTCTTTAGTACAAACACTTCATTTTTTTACTTTTCTTTAGCACATATGCATCTACAACTCTATTTATGGCACAAAACGTCAACATGTTTCTCATTTATAGAGCCCGTATGAAATTATGTCTTAGTGACATGCTAAAATGCAAACTCCCACTTGTCATTACATATTTGGAATAACCATAAGAGAGTGCATTGCATGATCATTTCATTGCTATCATATAAAAAAAATATTGTTCCATTGCCTGATAAACCCTACAGTTTTTTGTCGAATATAACTTAATAAAAGGGAAGTAAGGTATTAAAATGACCCAATAACCCTAAACACAAGTCACTTATATTGGATGGAAAACTTAACGAAGTTAGGGAGAGATGACAAATTAATGATTTTATAAAGTTGATATGACAAATTGCTTAAAATTTTAGTTTATATAATAAACTGAAAAATGCGTACAAGTTCATAGGACATTTCAAAAAATTTCCTTACTTTCAAATAATTTTATGATAGAACGCCAACTTCCTTCATGGTATCAAAATAAATCAATCCATGTGTGAAGCTCAGCAACCACACATATTTCACATCACTTAATTTGTTCATTGTTATGTCCCTGTTAATACCTTAACCACAATCAGTGATACATTAGCAGATTAAATAATAATTATTAGTGAGTGATTAGTCATAGCCAGCTGACAGTTTGTTTGAGTGGAGAGTTATATATGAGCTCATGCTCTGGAGGTAGAAGATAAGAACAAATTTTACAAAACGAAATCAAAATACAAAAAAATATTGGAGCACTGCTCCTTCTCTTCCCTCCTTCCCCTTTCTTCCCTATCTCTCAGTGTTACTTGCAGGTTGAATAAGGAATTGAGAATTGGATTTTATAATTCATGCTTTA